TGGTTTCTCAGATGGAGATCTAGGCAACAAAACGAGTCCAGTAAAACTGTCGTGAAAATCCAGTAGTGCACACAGATTTTCACCTCCTCTGTAATAAATATGTTTAGACACACGTTTAAAATACGCAGAATAAGATGCAGAACTGTGTCCCTCTCGGTTGTGTTGGCCTAGCTCAGAGAATTCAGTTTCTGCTGTCATCCCAGCTGGAAATGAGAAAGGCACGCGGCTCCAGGTGGTCTCCATCTGCCTCTGGGCCACACGTGCAGGACATTAGGCTGCCGCAGGAGCAGCTCAAAGCTGAATTCTCAGAGACCTTGTAGAGGAGGGAAGCTTGCCTGCCTTGGAGCCTGACAGAGCCTTTCTGGAGAGAAGTGTCACGGTTTATAAATGAGATGGGAGAGAACTGAGATCACACTAGAATGCACAGAAAATTCTTAAAACAAAAATATAATGAGAGAAACTTTATGAGAATGTGAAAAGAACTCTAAAGCTACAGTGCTGAAGAGGGGGCAGTGCTGGAACTACTGTGAAAAGGTTCATAGAACACAGTGGAAAATGCAGGAAGAGAGCCATGTGTATGTAATATTTTACCATGTGATAAAATGATACTTTAATATCTACAAGGAAATAGTCAATTATTTAGTAAGACCTCTTTTGGGTATTGACTTACCATGTGGAAACTAACATTCTGGAATTTCTACCTTACCAGTAACAAACAGTGATGCAGTTGTAATTTAGAAAATTATTAAAGAAATGATGAACTGCATAAAATTCTAGGTGAGATTGGCCTCTCTAAGCCTTACATCAAACTACAGACCCTAGAAAAGTTGATAACTTTTATTGTTTTTTGTTTCAAAGTTCAATTCAACAAACGGTGCCAGATATAAATAATAACAAATGAGGAAAAATATTTTCAACACATTTGGTGAAGGTTATCTCTAAAATGGTGTATATTAATTCTTATGAACCAATAAGAAAATATTAATTCCCAAAGAAGTATAGGCAGAGTATAACAAGACAAATCACAGAAGAACTCTAAATGACCTATGAGGGTGTAAAATAATGCTAGGACTCCTAAAGATGAGGGAATGCTAATTGAATTAACAAATCTCATTTTTCGGAACCACAGAGCTTGGATTGCAAACATTGTCAAATTAAAGTATATGACTTAAGGAAGGTCAGTCAACCCCTCAATTTCTTCTGTGTTACATTCAATGGTATTTTCATTCCTGAAGTTTCTATGTAGATTAAATAAAATATGCATATCATGTGCTTAGTACATTAACTA